GGTGGTCGTCAAACAGAGTCCTATGGTCATAGAAGCCAAAACCCTGTTGCCAAYACCAGCGGCGCAGCCAGTTGTTGATTTCACCTATCCGTTTTCTCCTGCTTGAATCCATCCCCCTCATTGGAAGGACGGAGGAGAACACTACCTGGGCTCCCACCTCTTTTACAGCCGCCCCTAGGGCTCTGTAATCTTGCTTTATTTTGGCAARTTTCCCCATAGCATCATTAGCACCCACGTGAAAAATAAGCAGGGGATAGTAGTCAGTGCMTCGGAGTAACCGAGGGAGCCTCTTTGTAACGTCCCTTATTTGAGCCCCTGGTAAGCAGCAGACCTCCTTGATTATGTTACCATGATAGCTGATGATCTACTCATGCTGCAAAGTTTCAAAGTTTCAAATTACAAATTACACAGTCAAAATCACAGCAGATCTGATGAACTAGAGGACKAATTTAGCTAATGCAGCCTGGAGAAAAACAAAACAAAAATGTACCTGCTATTCCCAATAGTCCCAAAAAAAGAAAGGGGATGACTATTTAGCTCCTTTTTCCAAAATTCTTTTAGGATATAAACAGCTTATTAGCAGCTCAGCATAAGAATAACCTCTCCTATCTTTTCCAGAAGAATGTAATTTCACATTTATAGTGCAGAATACTGCCGATCTGTAGTTCAAATGAAATGACTGGGATGTTTCTGCTCCTGCCTTCTTTTTCCAGATCTATTTGTAAAATATTCTGCGAGTCACTATTACAAAATTGCTCAAGTTAAWTACAATGGGGATTTAGTACAGTCATTTCTGATTTATGAAATCCTCCAGGCATACAAGGTACTTGTTAAAGAAAAGTTTGTACATATTATAGAAAATAATACATTCTACTTAAGTCTTGTTACTAACAGGGACATGACGCTTCCAGGCTTCAGCTGCTATTTATGGGAAATTATACAGGTATACTCCAGTGTTTGTTAAAGGAAAGGTATTGTATGCTTGCGTAACATACTTACATGCTGACATTAGCATGCTTTACTGTTCTTTAAATAATTCACAATATTGTAATCTTACCACTTCCTTCTAGGAGACATTGTTGAGGTTAAAGAGCTGTATCTCTTGCCTGTATTAGTCAAAATAACTCTGAAACCAACAAATCCTTTAACTCGTTGTATGTAACTTCAAATTGCACAGAAATTCTGAAACGTAATGAAAGATGTCACAGCTAATTTGATGAAAGCCATTTATTATAAAATGAATGTTAAGGGATATAACAAATATACTTTGAGATGTTTGGGAGAGAAGTCTAAAAAGGTGAACTTCTTTGCATTATTTACTTGTAAAAGACCTAAAACACAGGGATCAGTTTATGTGAGTGTGGTGATTCAGATGCCCCACACATCTACTGTAAAATCTACTTATAGCTTTCAAAGATTTAACATAAATCATGTCACATCTTCAATTCCAAGCTATCAAGAATAAGGAACTGAAGAGGAAAACCTGAGCTGGGCAATAATTCTGTTGTTTCTGGCTTTCTTTCATTAATGTTCCTTGGCTCCAGTGCCTCTCAGTCTGAGGTTCACTTTACAACTATTTTTAATGTAATCTACACAAAATGGTCAAAAGCAGATGTAATTGAATTGCATATGACATTTTAAATGATACTGATAGATTATATTGTCTACCTTGGTTATTGTTTTCACCATGAACAGAACAGTTTGAGGGAACGAGAAATGTCAGAACTGATGTAAAAAAACATTTTTAAGAGAAATGATCATAATTCAAATGGAATTGTAATTGCAATTGAATTTAAAACTTCTGGAGCATGTCAAATACAGACAGAATCATGGAGTGAAAAAAAAAAAAAGGTCAGTTAGGAGGAATTTAATCAACATTTTCAGGTTTAAGACATCTTATGCTGTCACTCTCACTAAACTATTTCTATGCATTTCTCAGTGCACATGCACTTTTCTTAAGAAGAAGTAATGCAAATGTACTCTCTTTTCAACATTTGAATTTAAGTCATAGTTGTCCACTGTTTGGAAACATTTCTTTTTTTGTCCTGCTGACTGAATCATCCATGTAACAAAACCAAGATATTGAAAGAGCTCAGCAGACTTCAAACTGGCAAACCATAAAACAAACTCTTATCTAGTAGATATCATCCTACATATGATTTTCACTGTAGATTTTATTTTCAACTTAAGCAAGCATAACATTGTGCTAACTAACAAGAATAAGAAACTTTATAACATTTTTCAAAGTGCAAAGTCTAGTCTTGCTGATCATTTTATTCCACACATTCTATTTCTCAGCTCTAGCTGGAAATCTTTGCAGCAAAGGCCTCAGGGTGGCTTGTGTTGTGGTTAGCTCAACTGGCCCAGGCCCCTGTGCAGGGAAGGTACAGGTGCTCTGGCCAGCCCCAGGCCAGCATTGTTCCTGTTTTCTTCATTCCCACAGCAGGCTGGCTCTGTTGGAGAGCAGGATCTCACYAGCACGTCAGAACCGTCACCTGAGGATCGGCCAGTCTGATAGTTCCTACTTGTGGTGGGAAACGGGGAATTAAATGCTATTTCATGAGGTCTAGATGGACATCTACAGAACGGATAGAAACAAGGAAAACTGCATATTGAGTTCACAGATTTTCATGTGGCTGAGGAATGGTCTTACACACAGAAATAACTGATTTCCTGTTTGTAACTACAAATGAACCAAAATTCAACCTATGTGAAATTTCAATTTAGGAAAGCACTGTTTGATGCTTCTGCATCCCTATCAATTTTTCCTTCATTCCAAGACAGGCTCATGGTTTCTCAGTCTCTTTCAAAATGCAGACAACATGTGTCTAGTCAGGATTCAATCACCAGCTTGCCAGACCTCTCCTAGCAGCAGCTGAAAAAAAAATGCTTTTTAAAATTATTTCAKAAAATATATACGTAATTTTATTGCRGTGCAGTGGCAACTGTCTTGTAGATGCTGGCAAGACCTCTGGTCCAACGTTGGCCTCAATAATTGCAGCTGGAAACATGCATCCATTCCAGGAGTCTCCAGGTCTATCTGAATACTAGCTCAACAAATAAAATAGCCATGCAGGTTTTTGTAGAGGAAACAAAATTTTGCATAATCCAGKACTGCTTGCATAGTCTCTCCTTTGCTGTCTTTCTATATCTCTTTCCRTTATTTACGAAGTTTCTTATTAGCAAAGGTACAATGTTGTGAGGGTTGGAAAAATCAAAACTAAGATCAGCTTAAGACCCCTCTAGGTTGCAGTGTGTGTGTTACCAGGAGGAAGACATTCAGGTTGGCACTGTAACAAGCCCATGTTTTCTTAGTCTGTGGTGCATGCTGTGGTTACCAAACTGCAGTTTCCTGTGACTTATGTGTCAAATAGGAAGTTTGCTAATAGCAGTTAAGTTGCACTTGATCCCACTCATGACATATAACTAGATCTGTGCAACAGAAAGGTTACTAGTACACCTATTTTGTGCAGAGTGGCTATTTTTAAAAAGTCGTTTGTGCATCACTTGAAATTTCAGCATGCTGTATGGACATTCAGGGCTTTTTAACATGTAAATAATTACAAAAGCATGTAAATTCTGTGGGCACCAATGGTTACATTAGCCCCTGGGCTTCACTGCTGCAGCATCTGTCCCTCACCTCTGCCTTTGCAGCCCGTGACCTAGTTCCACCCTCCTTGTCCTCGTGCACTGGGGGGGCTGCAGGACTAAGCGCTTGGTTTCATCCCAAATCCTGTGAAACCTTTTGATTCCAGGGTATTTTAACATTTATAGTTTTCATGTCCATTATTATGTATGTCTGCCTTTGCAGCATGTCATGGATATGTCGCTGGGATAGACTGATGAACTCCCTGGAGTGATCACTATGAAGAGTAATTTCAGGAAGGACTCACACTGGATCATCCCTTACTAAAGAGGGTGCAGAAGTGACAGTCATTTATGTTCCCTAGGCTTTTCTCTACTTAGATCTCCAGAATTTTTACATGCAGGTGTTTGGCTTCTCCACATGTAAGTACTGTAAGAGGCAGCAGATCTGTTCAGCCYTGTGGAGGTCCTGGGGGTTTTGTGTTTTTGGTTCACAACTGCCATAAAAACTCGCAGGGCAGGTGTCCCTGCTTGAGCGGGAAGGTTGGACTGGATGATCTCTAGAGGTCCCTTCCAACCTTGAAGATTGTGATTCTGTGATTGTGTGCACCGACGCGGGCAGGCAGCGCGGACGGGAAGAACTGGAAATGGGCGCTAAGCACAGCAAGGACACACGCTCTCCAGCACGCTGACCACGGCTCGCTCCTCCAGCTGCTTCGTGGTGACAGCGAATTTGCATCACGAATTTGGATCACGAGGCCCTGCCGACACAGAGCCGACAGGAAAAGGCGCGTTGGGGGCACAAGCGAAGGGAACGCGGCTTTATTCCCTCCGTCTCCCCGTGCGCTGCCGGCGGCGCTCGGAGCCGCGGATCAGCCGCGCGCCCCGCTTCCCTCCCCACGCCGCTTCCCGGGGCTCCGGCCCCGGCTCCCTCCCTCCCGCGCCGCTTCCAACCAGGAGAGGCCTCCGCCCCGCGGGCCCCGCCCAGCGCGCCCCGCCCCGCCGCCGCTAACGGCCGAGCCGCGCCGCGCGGGGCATCCTGGGACTCGTAGTCCGCCGGGGGGG